GTAAAGCTTGAGCTCTATTAGAGTTATAAATCGAAGGCTACCTGCAGATCATATAGAGCCCCAACTGGAGCAACTCCAGAGATATTAGAGGCCTTCTTGTAATTCTGTTTGGCAGAGATCTAGAAAGGCCTGAGGTTAATGCTCCCCCCAAAATGAGTCATAGACTAGGAAGCAGGGCTTCTCTATGTTAGCTCCCAGATGTATACTTGGAAATACACTTTTGGCATCTTATAAAGCACTGAATTCAAGAATGTTTGGTTATACACCACCCATCTGTGTGCACACAAAAGATGCAGATTGTATATAGCACAGCTTGGGATTCCATAGCCAAATAAGTAAAAATGTCTTTTATTTTGTATTCACATAGTCATATTTTGCCTTTCTTCCTAGGAGTCTAAAGAAACAGTGACTTTATTAATGTTGGTTTAGACAGAGAGGAAGACTGACCTAAAGTCACTAGTGAACTTCCAAGATTGAGGGTGGACTTAAACTCGCATCTGCCTTGCCCTAAAACTTTAGCTGTTGTACATGTGCTAAAGCAGCTGATGGAACAGCTTTTCATTCCTTTTGATCTCATACCAATCTGGATGTGTGATTAGTCACATGCTTACCAGAAAGAAATCTGTTAGAGAAAGATTTCCGTCCTTCATTCAGTACGATCATTTCCTGACCCAGACTGAAAAACAAACTCTCCTAATTCAAGTGAAAGTACATTCCAGGGACTTCTGGTAATTCAATTTTCTCTTTTCCAACCTCATTAATAAATTTGTAGCGGCCCACATAATTATTGTTGATGCAAATCTTTCTTGGTTAGCAGAAACCTTGATGAATCTGTTGTCTACAAGAATCTACCAGTGACACGAACTGAACTGCAAACACAAAAGAGTAACACAGAGTTTAGTTTTGCATGTGTGTTATTTGATACTACAATTTCATAATTGCCAGGAAGTTTGTTGCAGTCCCAATCTGAATTAAGTACAAAATATCTACCTAAGGACAAAGCTGCTTTCATTAGCAGATTTGTTGCACTTTAATCCCCTTAGAGCAACTCTTCAAATATACAGTTTAGAGTCAAACACAGTGGATAGAAACTTGACAAAAGCTAAACTTAAATTATGTAGCTGACCAAGGACTTAAAGCTAAGTTCCCCAATGTTCTATTTTTAGTGTTACAAAGCTATTGAACATGTGGTAATCCACTGGAAAATTAAGATACAGCAACTTTTCAGAAATGCATTTAGTCATACTCAATGGTTTTCTCTTGTTTATTATTTAATAACTTACTTACTACCTGCTCTGTTTTGGGGAACAAAAGAGAAAAGTATTGCAGAAGCAAACAATATTCTCCTTGTATTTTTAAAAATCTTCACCCCTATATTGCCTACAAATAAATAAGGTAACAATTTTAATATTTGATCTCTTAATATATTTAATTATGATAACTGAACACACTCACAAGTTGACTGCCTCACGTCATCCTGATGTATCACTTTGCATTTTACTGCTGTAAGTCAATTTGAGATCTACAGCAGGTTGGAAAGGCTAGTAATGATGCTCTCTGCAGTCTCTAGAGAGTCCACATTATACACAGCGTACATTATTTATAAAGTTGGATGATGCCTCCATTAGCCCTGCAAGATTACACACCAAGAGAAACCACTTATACTTGACAAGACAGGCTACACTGCATTACCAGCATGACTTAATTCAAGTTTACCTACTCCCTAGACCGATCTTGCCTTCTGTTTACACACATTAAGCAAGAATGCAATGAGAAATTTATTTGAAAATAATTACTGTCAATTTACAAGTTCATGCCTTTCTTTTGAGAATTAGAATTTTACCTGCCACTTCTTTTTCTGCCATCATATGCTGTATATGTATAAAACATTGGGATTTTTATAAAGCTAATACCAAAGTCATTTAAAGTGGATAGTAGGGTAATTTACTGCCTATGTTGCTGTACGGCCATCAATAATTCAATTTTCCTACATGTCTTCATTACATGTGAATATCTCCACCAGAATTATTTTCTACAGCTTATGCACATCGAGAACCAGTTTCTTCCTAGGATATCTCTTTCCAGCAAACCATACATACACACACATGGGAAGGAGAAAGAGGGAAGTACCTTCTCAGTTTCATCAATGCTAAAAAAATTAAAATCTCGTCCATCCTTTTCCACCTCTCCCTTATAACTGCAATAGGGAATGTATATAGCATTATTAGAGACATTGCAGGGTTCTCCCACAATCAATTTTACTGAAAAGACAAGTACAAATAAATGATGGGTGAGATAATTTATAGCTATGGAAATACATACACAAATATGTATTTCACTGGAGAGTCTGAAGGCAGCATCCAGAAAAAGCATCTTTTGCGAATGGCAAATATGCATTAACAAAGAATGAGGGGTGATGTAGAGAAAAGCAGAAAAATACAAATGTTTTCATCCGTAAATATATATTCTATTTTCCTTCAATGGAATTGTAACCTTGGAGGTTCTCAACATCAGTATGCTTATCTCAAATCGGTTATTGTCTTAGCCTCTGTAAACAGTGGAGTCATCTGATCAAGAATATGCATAAACCTCCCCCCCCCCACACGTAAAGAGAAGGACACTGCAGAAGAGAACTGTATTTGATTATGTGGAGGGGGTTGAAAGGGTCAGAATTAAAACAAGGACAAATCAGTACCCTTGTAACACAATCTGGCCTTGAACCAAAGTGATCTTATCAAGGACCATGGCTAGGAAGTTTTTCGGCTGTTTTAGCTTTTGCAATCATGCCCTGAAAACTTAGCTATGCTTTGAGAAAAGAAGAACCAAGTATTCCTATTATCCAGAGGACCTAGGCATTTCCAAAAGCTTTTCAAATAGAAGCCACAATAGTTATGCTAAATGGCCTCTTCAACCCTCAGCAGGTCATCCTCAACCCTTTCTGGATGCAAAGCACACCTATAAAAATAAGAATTGCATAGATTTAAAGTGGCAAGTGCCTAGAGGAATGCTGTCTTATTGTTGCTGGAACTAAACAACTAGTTCTTGGAAGTCTATAGAGATTCTCAAGTCATCCATATCCCCATTGTCCTAAAGGTATTTTTTTTTTCAAAAAACACCTGGACTTTCCACTCTAGTTGCCTTTTGAAAAAGCCCCTTTGGGATCCTGCTTGGAAGTGAACCTCTGCAGTTGCAGTTCATTTTAAATTCTTAAATAAAGACACACAATTGAAGGGGCAGCAAGTTAGACAGAACAAAGCCTCTGCCAGTTGTTTTTAAAGGGGAATGGGCTTTTTTATGGTTGCAATTCAAGCACCAACTCTTTTTGTTATGCTGGAGTGATTTGTCCTAGACCCAGCTGGACTTTGGCCATTTTCACCATGGAACTCTTCCATGAGTTTATATCTACTTTTCCTTATACTTATCTGTATATATTTAGCCACAGTAAAGATCTGTTGTCCTATCCTTAAGCATAAAGCCACTCCTCAAATTAAAGCAGCTTTTCATATTCATACCCTGTATTAAGAAATTCTAAGCCAGCCCACACACGCAGCCTCATCCACTATTAACAAAGGACAGAAAGAAACGGCTATCCTCAGTTTATCATAGCTTTCCGCTACGAATTCCCATAAACCTCGCCAATAAACCCGGAGGATGGGTGGGAGGAAAAAGCAAGATTTCTACTATGAGCAAACAAAAAACTCCCGAGTGGGTCATCGCTAATAACGTCAAAAAGGGAAGTTTGGGCAGAGAAACCTGCCACTCAGAAAGGAAAGAAATCGGGCTTGGGAAGCGTCTCCCCCCCCCCCCCTCTCTCTCTCACACACACACAGAGCATCAGACAAGAAAAGGAAAAATGCTGAATTGCAAAGGAGAGGGTAACTCCATTGTGTTGGGTTGGTTCATCTTAACTACTGAAGCCCAATTGGAGGCCAATTTCTTCACTTGGCTCGGAATACCGAGAGGATCTCCTGACTGGGAACCAACCAGACTCTGGCTTTTCCATTGCTTTCCCTCTCCTCTCCCCCACTTGAGAAGTGGCAGCCGAAAGGAAGTGGAAAGCAGAGAAGGGGGAGGGGGGTGGCGGGTCTTTTTTACCTCTGGAGCTACAAAAAGGTGTCCCTACCTCCACCACAGGAGAAGAAACTTTTTACAGCGTTAAAATCGCCGCCGCTGCAACCGCCTGGCTCTTTTCGGCTCCTCTAAACAGCACAGCCGCCATCATGAGAGCAGCGAAAGCTCTCCTTTGCCCTAATCGCTCCGCACGCGCGCGATTCAAGATTGTCGTCGCTCAGCCTCACCCTGCCTGCTGCCCCTCTTCCATTCCGGCAGTCGCATGGTTTAAAAATAATAATAATAAAGGCCAGCAAGGAAACGGCAGAAAAGACAAAAGAGGAGGGATGGAGGCTTTTTCCCCCCACCCCAAATAATAATAATAATAAAAAAAATAAGGGAGGAGAAAGGACACAAAAGCCGGTGGGGAGAGGATGACTCCCCAAGGAAGGCAAGCTCGGAGCGGCAGAGAAAGTCGCCAAAAAAATCCCAGCTCTTACCAGCTGTCCGCGAGGGGCGAGGCGAGGGAATAAGGGAAAAGATCATGCAAAGCGCCCGGACAGCGCGTCGCAGCTGCTTGGACAGGCGGGCAAAGTCCCACCCGTTGCTGCCGCCGCGGCTGCTGCTTTTTCGCTCTCGCTTCCAGAGCCGCCGCCGCCGAGCAGCCCAGCGCTAGCTCCGCCACTGCGCCTGGATTGATCTGGTCTCACTGGCGTCAGAGAGTCGGAGCCACCCAACCTCCACTTACCCCACTGCCAATACACAACATGCATACATATATATATACACACACACATGCACACGCTCTGCCTCTCGGCCAAGTTAGGCCAAGTTAGGGATCTTCTCCAAATGCCCGCCCCCGCGTCGACAAAGAAGGCATGGCTGGTTCGGCTGGAGAAACCGCTTCACGACTTTTCCCTCCCTCTTTCTTGCTCCGCTCTCCGGCCCGCCCGGAGGAGGACTCGCAGCCATGGAACGGAGCGGCGGCCTGCAGCGGGAGTGCAACTTCGACGGAGCCATTTGCCAAGGGCTATCAAAGACACAGGCAGAGGATTTCGCTTCCAGATCTCTGGAACTCGGGCGCGGCTTCGGTGGCAAGCCTGGGAGTTGTAGGTATCCCGATAGGGCCCTAAATCAGAAAAAGCAGTTGATTCCGAGCTGGTAAAATTGGTGTTTATGTGAAGTTCAGGAGTCTGTCTATATGGACCGGCATCCATATAGTGCTATCGCCAGATTTCCCATTTTCCCAGAAATGCAATTTGTTCCGTTTGACACACACACACACACACGCACACACACGCACACACACACACACACACACAGCCAAAGACAGGTAATTCCACGCATAGGTGTGCACACAAGTATAGGTATTTACCTACCATTCTGCTGAAATAGGTTCAGAATTTGCTTCTAAGACGTCAAATGATTTGCTTCTAAGACGTCAAATGATTTGTCCTGGATTAGGCCAAAATTTAATCACAGCATTTTACTCATGGGATATCATATGCTTCTAGGAGGATCACAAGGAGAACAGGAGGCATCACAGCTTCCTATTAGCCAAAACCATCTTTCAGATAAATACTCCCAAGATGCTTTTTCTTCTGTATGATTGTCTAACATTCTGGCCAAGCCATCTTCTGGTTCTTGGTTTCAAAAGTCTCCACAAAGGTTCAAGCAACTTATCTGACCCCCTTCAGCAACTATAGCTGCTTTGCAGCTTTGAGGTTCAAATCTGGACAAACCCTTCATTCACAAACTAAACATCTCATCAATTTTTTTAATGCGGATCTATTATTTTTCATTTACATTTTGTAATCAGAATTCATGATAGTGCTTCCTTTTTTCTTCTTGATAGGTAGATTTGCTCAGGATTTTGTTTACATATGGAACACCTTTTGAAAATGTAAGTAAACAATCAATGATCCCTGGCCCATGTATTTGTTTACACTCTTAAAATACTTTAAAAGCTACATGAGTCAATTTGCTTCTAAGAAATCAGATGAGTTGTACTGGATTAGGTCAAAGTTTCATTTAAGCACAACATTTTACTCATCCTATGAGACACCCACCATATGTTTCTAGGAGTTTTTGCCTTTGGAGAAACTGTTATGATTGTTCTTCTAAGTGTTATTTTTTACAGTGGTAATTTTTTTCATCACTCTTTCTACCAGTTTGCACAGTACAGATATTGCACGGACGTTTCCATAACTTTCTAAATCTTCCAACATTTCTTAATTAATTCCACCTCAATAGCATACTTGAAATAAATTATGTAAGGATTTAGGATTTTGTCCAGTCATCTGGCAGCAGGATAATTCTCTGAAAACAGAACAGATTGGAATTTGGTATTGTGGTAGAAGCAGGCAAAAGAAAGCCAGTTTAAAAATGGACTGAATTTAGCATGGGATTAGAACAATATTCCAGAATTTCTCCAATCTTAAAAGACAGGCAGTGGTGGGTTGCTAACAGGTTTACTACTGGTTCGCTCATGCACGCATGCGTGCATGCACAGAAGCGTCCAGGCGGGTGGGCAGAGCCTCCCGCCACTGCCACTACTGGTTCGGCCAAACCGGACCAAACCAGGAGCAATCCACCTCTGGGGACAGGTAATGCAGCAGCATTGAGAAGGCTTCTGAACTCTGCTCTTAAGCCTCCTTCTTTCTCCTTAATAGGAAAGCTGGTATTAAGTGAAGAAGAATGATAGAAAAAAGACTTTCGTAGTTTGTTATTAGCAACAAATTATGAAATCTATCTTTCTTCCCACTATTTGCTCAACCTTCAAGGACATGCAAATAATTCATCTTTTCTACAATCCTTTTTTTAATATTCCTCTCCTAGTCAATATTTCATCCATCTCTAGAATTTGTTTTTCGTAATGTATATTTTTGTCCTACAGACAGTTAGATGGTTACATTAAAACACAATCCACAAGGTTTTGAATGTCAACATTTGCGAATTGATGGTGGATACTATTGTGCCTTAATAATTGAACCTGGTACTACCTTCACAATTTTAATCCAATATATGTTATAGAAAGTGATGGATTCCCTGGCTTTTTCCCCTCTTACCAAGCACCACCTGGCAACATGAAAACTACTACCAACTAGTCTCCTTAATATGGATGGGTAAGGAGCAAAGCTGTGCAAATATAGGTAGGTGCTTTGAATGACAGATTAAGCCATATGTCAAGTCCTACTGAAGTCTATTCAAGTTACCAAACTATCAGGCAAATAGCGGTGATTTTAGAATCCAAAACTCGAGCTCTTTTGAAAAATATACTAAATTCTTGTCCCCAAATAGTTTGGCTGACAAGCCTAAGTGTGGTAGTAGTAGTGAGATGAAGAAGGAAGAAAGTGTCTCCATGTGCCAGGAAGGTTTTGGGTCTGTCTCAAAGCTGATTCCTCAGAATGTGCTTGAACATCAGCTCCCAAATCACCAGCCAGTATGAGCAAAACCTGGGAATTTAGGCAGTTGCAGTCCTAAATATTGAAGAAAGGCAGGTCTACAGGTTTGCATTGTTTTTTAATCCTATTTTTGAAATAATTATCAACATTATATGTACTGTAAAATATTAAGACAGATTTTTTAAAAGGACTACTGAAATGTAACAGATAAAATCCCAAAGGTGCTTTTTCAAGAGGCAACTGGACTGGCATTGACAATCTGCAAAATTAATAATCACATTTTTTCCTTGTCTAAAAATATTTTACTGTCCTTCCCATGCAATATTGCATCTACTCTGGGATATGAATTCCAGAGTATGAATATGAATTCAAGAGTTCTGGGTGAGAATTTACTTTTCCTAACCTAGGAAAGATGCAAATCTGGCACTCCTGTGATACAATTTAGCATGTTATGAATTATTTCTTACTTTCTGTTATATACTTTCCATTATGTAAGGAATAAAGGCAATGAGCTTCAGAAAATAATTAGAAAAAAATAGTCATGCAGCCTTAAGGAAAGTCCATTGCCAGGAAATTGTGTAATCAACATATATTTCTGATAGAAAAGGAAGAGAAAACTGAAGACAATCAAATCCAGTACAAAAAATTTAGGAAAAGGATACAAAATAATAAAAGGTTTTGTCCAAATATACAACAGTATATTTATAAATATTATATTACTAGAGTCATTCAATAACTCAGTATGCCCTTGAAATTGTATATAATGGTCTTGTAGTATTTCAACGTATGTTTATAAGTTTGGAAGGATTTGTAGGCATGAAGATAAATTATTTTTTGTTTTATGGAGGAGACATATCTTCTTGCTCAGTATTGGCCAATCTTGCCAAATGGAGATTAGATTTCCACACTTTGGTAAAGTTTAGTAACTAGGAAACAAATTACAAAACTTTTAAAATCATGTTTTATTGAGTTAACCACAATTAACTAGCTCACAATATCTTAAGCCAAGTCAACTAAACCATGTTCCCATTTGATACAGTACAGTAGATGAATTTGGTTACCTACCTGTCTATTTCATAGTACACTAAGCTACAGTGTGATTTATTTGGATTTACCTTAGCATTTTAAATGAATCCACCAATTGTGATTTCTTAAACTAGGTGTTATATTAATATGCATATTGAATATGGAAGTAGAGAGATAAAATTGGAATGATATAAAGGTTTTACTGTTTAACATCAAAAGATTAAAAAATATTTGGAAGATTAAAAGGTAAAAGATTAAAAACTTGCACATATGTGCTAGTCATTCCCGACTCTAGGGGGCGGTGCTCGTCTCCATTTCAAAGCCGAAGAGCCAGCTGTCAAAAGACGTCTCTGTGGTCATGTGACTAAACACCGAAGGCACACGGAATGCTGTTACCTTCACACCAAAGGTGGTTCCTATTTTTCTATTTGCATTTTTATATCCTTTCAAACTGCTAGGTTGGCAGAACCTGGGACAAGTAATTGGAGCTCACTCCGTTAATCATTGCTAGAGATTCAAACCGCTGAACTGCTGACCTTTCTGATCAACAAGCTCAGCGTCTTAGCCACCGAGCCACCACATACCTCTGTTTGGAAGATTAGTGTAATGGTAAACTTTATAAGTGGAACTCAGTTGTACTGAATAAAGACTGTTGGTGCCATTTTGTGTGTGTGTTTTGGCATTGTTATTTATAATCAATATTAGGATGATTAAGAAAAGCTTTGAAGCTATGAAGCTTTCCCTGTTCATAGAGGAAAGTTCTCTGTTGGAAAAGCTGTGCCAGCTTCCAGAAAATCTGCATTACTTTTTCTCAAGGAGAGAAGCAACCTAGAACTAAGGAGAAATTTCCTGACAGGTAGAACAATTAATCACTGGAACCACTTGCCTCCAGAAGTTGTGGGTGCTCCAACAGTGAAAGTTTTTAAGAAGTGATTGGACAACCATTTGTCTGAAATGGTAAGGTTTCCTGCCTGAACAGGAAGTTGGACTAGAAGACCTCCAAGATCCCTTCCAGCTCTGTTATTCTGTTCTGTTTTTTCAGTGCTAGTTGCTTTCTAAATGGGCTAATATTCAGAAGTCACCTCTATTAGCTGAGCTTTATCTGAAGAGTTACTGCCCATGTCAACCTGTATTCCTTAGGAGTGGGCAGGGTTCTAGTTTCATCCAGAAGTGAGTGAGACGTTCCTGCAGCTCAAGAATAGGACTCTTTAAGGACCAGAACTTACCTGTCTGTTCTGTGTTTCCTTAGAGCAAACTATCATGCCCTGTTCTGTTTGAATGGCTACTACCGGTATGTCCTAATCTGGTTTAGCCTACCCCAAAAGAATGGAGAGAAAATAAAGATGCTCATCAACAGGACCTGAACTACAAATTAAGCACAGATCTTCTGTTTGTAATCTCACACTATAGGGAGAAGTTTTTATATTTCTATTTTGAGTAATTATTTCTAAGTATTCAGCTGTCCCTATAAATAAATATATATTCTCTTAACTTGAGAGTATATGTTGTGCTTTACTTTTGTAGATATCTAATATATATCGGCTTACTTTAGCATTGGCGCCTTTGATTCTCTTAAGCAACTCCCTGTCCCCTATTCTTCAGATTATACTTTACATTTCTTTGTACATGTGGAAATATAGTATTATTTGGAGCATTAAAATATTGGAAGAATGGGACACTGGTCTCTGAGCAGAACTGAAGCATCGTAGAGACCAAGAGAAGCAATTTTGCTTTCACTTAATGTTGAGGAAGATCAAGCTCAGAAAAAGCAAATTCATTACTTCAGTTTGAGTTCACAAATAATCTCCCCTCCACATCACTTTGTTTTCAGAAAGTAATATAGTAATGCTTCTTATATAAGTATTAAAAAGTTCAGCTTCCTATCTCACCATGCTATTTTTCTATGGAAAAGGGAAAAGATGATAAGAAAAATGCAAATATGATGGACAAAAATAACTGGGTTTACCTCTGTGTTAAAAAGGAGATATATTGTCTTTTGTAATGAAGAACAACCTATCCTGGCATGATTCTCTGAGTTAGCAATATTGGCATTATTCCCACCACTGTTTCTGTAGTGATGATTCATATTGTTGTTTGAGCTTTTACTTTGATCATTATTTCCATATTTAAATACTCCTTGTGGCTCATATTGTAAAACTGTGTTTTTGTTTAAAATGGGGAGCAACATAGATGTGTATAAGTAAATAAGAACCATCACAATCATACTTATAATTTCATTGTTGACACTGGAGATAGTAATAACATACCAAAAGCTTTCTCTGACCACCATTTTCAAAGTGTGCAGTGTTAATTGTAGATTTATTCAGTACCTCAAATTTTATGATTTGGTAAGTCAGAACAAAAGTCAGATGCACTACTTTAGGTCTTAAACTAAAACAATCGTTGAAGAGATTTTCATATTTTGCATAGTTTCTACTGGTTGAGGGAATTAAACCAGAGACATTGGAACAGCAGTAAGCAAGCATGATGCTATACCAGAATTCTCAAGACTTTGCATCATACCTGACCAGCCCTGAGCATGGATATATAAAGTGCAAGGCAGTGGGTCTCAACTTTCCTAAACTGCAACCCTTTAATACAGCTCCTCATGTTGTGGTGACCCTCAACCATAAAATTATTTTATGTTTTCTGTATTTTTTTTTCAAAAATATGTGTTTTCCAATGGTCTTAGGCGACCCCTGTGAAAGTGTCATTCAACCCCGAAAAGGGTCGCGACCCACAGGTTGAGAACCGCTGGTGCAAGGGAATTCTTATGAAATAATGACAACACATTTAAGCTCTGGCTCACTGAATCCAAATTCTAGAAAATATATTTTATATTTAGCATATTTGGGAGCACAAAGGCTGGCTACACTCCCTCAGCTTATCAATAGGGAGTGCAAAAATCAGCTCTTAATGAGGGCTTCACCCATTCTCATTGTATGGTATTTCTGAGGTGAGGAAAAAATATTCTGTTCACTCAATTTAAAAACTATGGTGAAATGATAATAAGGTATTATGCTGTGAGCAGAATAGAGTTGAGAAACAAGGAAGTATGTTAAGAGTTAATCAGTTCATCTGTAGAAGAGTGACACACACCTAAGAAAACTGGAAACACAGCACCAAAGCACCAGCCTGCAATGCTGCAGTAGATGGTCCCTTGGATGCAAGTACCAAATAACCAAAAGCAGACAGGATCAGCATCTCATATAATCCATGAACATGATATGATTCTAAAGAATTAGACAGAGAGAACAAAGAACAAATAAAAACAGGGAGGGGTCAAGCATGTCACCAATTTGGAGTCCCTTTGGTCTCACAAGAGATCTAAGACCAGCGTTCCTTGAATTCAGTTGACTGTTATCTAATGCCAATTTGCCTAGACCAGGGATGTGCATGCGTGTGCTGGCCAGCTGAGTTCATCCTTTTTTAAAGCCATTTTTCACCCTCCCCAGGCTCCAGAGGCTTTATAGGAGCCTCGGGAGGCCGAAAAGAGCCTCCCCCCTCCCCCGGAGGCCCTCTGGAGGCTTCATGAGCTTCCGTGAAGCCTCCGGAGCGCAAAAACCGGCCCTATGGGCAAACCGGAAGTTTGGGAACGGACTTCTGGTTTGCTCGGAGGGTCATTTTGACTGCTCCAGAGGCATCAGAGAAGCCTCCTGAAGGTCCCTGAAGCCTTCGGAGCGCTCAAAACGTCCCTCCAAGAAAACTGGAAGTGACTCACTGGCCTAGATTGTCTGCAAGATAGATTCTTGCAGAGATATAGCATGGAATAAACTTGTAGTCATTTGAACAACTTAACATTTACTTCTCTGAATAAAATAATCCTTGTATAGAAATCTAGATGCCTATTTTTTTTTGCTTGACTTGCATACTCATTTTGTCTTTATGAGATTCAGATTAAAATGTATTATCTATCCTTTGTAGTTATTACTCTGATTCAATCTTTTACAGTGTAATGCCCAAACATTTCAATGATTTGCCCAAAGTGATGCATTCGTTTTCATGACTTAATGAGGTCTTCATATGATCCTCCCTATTATAATTCAATAATAGAACATTCTAATTCTTTGCTTTCATCTAGTAGTTGTCCAGATTTTTGTAGCCCATATCTGGTAGACCTAAATTTGATATGCTGTATAAACCAAACCAAACCTGTTTTTCTTGTAGCTCATACCTTAATTTTGAAATCAGGAGTCTGGCAGCACTTTTTCTTACTAACAAAAGTTATTAAAAGATATAGGCTTGGATGAACTTGATTCATTTCATCTGATTCAGAGTGGCAAGACTGTTATAGGATTTAAATTGAAATAGAGTAAAAATCCAAATGACATTACCCAGAATTTTGCAGAGAGCCTATACAAATAAATTATGTCTTTGTAAATTTTGTATATAAAGTTATTTACATAACTGGATTATCATGGTCTTCTATTCACCTAGAAAACATCCGTATTATAAACCTAGTTTGACTCATTAATTATACTCTCTCATTTCTTATGAGCTCTGCCTACTTACATTTAATTAAAAACTGCAAGGTCATATATTAAAATGCATTTCAACATATGGCAAACACAAAATTTAAAGTTTTTCTCTTAGTAGTCATTGCTTTCACTCTTTGGTGACAACTTTAAAGGACTAGTCCAGTTTGTACATCTCAATAATGTGCTTTCCCACATAACACAATCCCTTCTAATTATATCTCATTAACAAACTAGGATAGCTGTAGACATATCTAGTAGCAAACAGAAATTATTTCAACATATTTCTACTGAGGCAGAAATTACTGCTACAGAATATGCTAGTAGTATCCTGTCCAACTTCACTGGACACTTCTGTACAATCTGATATTAAGGACAACTGAAGCAAATGGTATACAAAAGGAAGTACAGAAAACAAAGTAAAAATAGAATATTGTGATCAGATCTTTGGGATAAATGTCATAAAAAGGGGCAACCCAAAGTATAGATAATTACATCATCCTATCAAATCCCAGTTAAAGGTTCTGATAGTTATTGAGTTTTTAAATTGCACTTACCCTAAAGTTATTTGTTTGGTTTTAGCTTAATATTAGACAATCATACTCCATTGGCTCTTCATTTCAGAGACATTTCTTTACCCAAATAGAGAAACAAAATGGCAGAAAAAGCAGTTGAGCGGGACCGTCTTTTGACTTCCTGCTGGCCTCCTCATTAATGAATTTCAACAAAATCACATGTTTGGTGGTTTTTCTTTGTTAGCAAATAGAGGATTTTCTTTTCTTTTTGCATAAATAAGGTAGG